TTGACGTTTCTAGCGGAAACGACATATCTCTCACGCTATTAACATTGGACTTAAGTGACATGAGCTTTAAAAGCTCTACAACATTAAAAGTTCGGGGTTTCATAATTTTTTGCACATCTACATCTACTACAGATGACATACATGTAAAGATCATCCTTATCGGTCCGGCAGTTCGTCAGAAATAGTGCTTCCAAGATTTTGCCTGTAGCTGTATAATATAGAGATATTTGCTAAAATGTTCAATATGAAATAGGTGTAATTTTCTTCTTTCGTTTGAAATCTTTGGGCAAGCAGTGCTTGCCTTGCTTATCCGGACCGCACGCCACTGATTTGGGCAAGCAGTGCTTGCCTTGCTTACCCTTCCCTTGCTACCCCCCCCCCTTATATGTCATCATCGTTTGTGTCATCATATATTTTAGGATGAGTTTGGTCATAAATTCATTTTTCGATCAAAATACCATTAATTTGCGAAGTTTCAACACGAAATGTCTACCAGGACGAGTACAATCTTAGGGTGAGTACCTTTTCTTTTTACCGCCGAGATCATATATTTGTGTCAACAAATCAACAAAAGTAAGGTCAAAAATGAAATCTACGATCGAAAGTCCTCTGGGCTACCGAGTTTCAACACGAAATGCCCATAAGAACGAGTAAAACTTATCTTTGAGTACTTAAGTTATAAATTTTTATGTTTCTCCGGAAAGTTTGAAAGAACGCGTAAAATTGTGTATTTGCGTCATTTTATTGAAAAAAGTAAGGTCAGAAATGAATTCTACGATCAAAATAGCCCAGGAATACTTTGGTTTTAGCACGAAAGCCTTAGGAACGAGTGGAGTATAGCCGCAACAAGTAAGGCGATGGGGGCATTTTTTCCTGGATGAGCCGAGCCGGTGCGAAAATCGAGTCAGTGGCTGAGAGACCGGAGAGACGGATTTCTTGCCAACTTTTGTGAATGATCGAATAACGCCACGTCCCCGTTAGAAGCTATGGTAAAGAATCGATAGTGCGATAATCGAATAGTCGCATTCGATACGATATTCGATATTTGTCCAGCTGTAGGATTCAACATGGCGGCCATGCCCACTTGATCAATGCATTATCCCGCGCAATCACGCCGGTGCCCGAATTCTAGATCGCTCAATTAAGAATTGTAATTTATTTAATTATTAGCCGTCGAAACTGTCATCTTCTTTGCTCATTTAGAAGTATTTCATCAATTCGAGACGAAGATTTAACCCCAGGGCCAACGAAAATCAAGAAGAAGCCATGGGAAGTGCGGTGAATTCGAAGTTCTGAGTGGATCTATACTTACAGGTATGAGTGTATGAGTCGTTTTTCTGGTATTCCTTTCAATCATCTCTCTTTCAACTAAATCGAGGAAGCTTACACTACTTACTGATTCCTAAATGAGAACTTAGTGAAGTTCCCATAACTTACGATGTTACAACAGAATTGTCATCAGACTCCTGTGACGGAAAATGTCTTTTTGTCCGTCGCTTGACTTGCCTTGGAGACTCCACTATGGACCAAGATGTATCTCTTTATCCATTCTTATCTTATCTAGTCAATCTATGAATGCAGACCGGTTCTTAAAACTCTGTTGGTACGCCAGGACAAGAGAAGAAATGTGTGAGCTTTGCGATTGGAAGTCCTTGATCTCCTAGGTCTGGACATGCCGAAATGAGTTTCAATGATCGATTCCTGTGTGAGACATGTTGACTGAAGCTAACTTTAAAGAAGGAGCCTCTGAGCACAGTGAAGAGTGTTTTACAGGTTTTGTTTCCCAATCCCCTGCATATAGCAAGAACTGTGAATATTGTTGCTACGCCTAAAGATCATCCTAGTTTGGACTCCATTGCCAGGTATTTTCGGCCTAAATTTCCTCCTCAAGAATTGTAACTTCCTCATTCCCCAAATGTCCTGTAACTCTCTCCTTCTTTCACTTTCATGTCGTTTAATCTGTGAAGGAAAGAGTTAGTTTGTCTGCATGTAGTCTTGCTGTGATAATGAGGCCAAATTCATAATTTTGAAAGCTCACCTAGACAATCTCTTCTCTTCCCTGCGAACCGATAGCTAAGCCTCTGTTTCACTTGATCATTTCTCTTTCTTCATTCAATGGGCCAGTTGCACTGGTAACAGAATCATGTTTTGATGCTTGGTTCTAGTAGATCAGCTCTAAATATAAAGATCTGTCTCAACAGCAACTCTCTACCTTGAATATTAGCGGAGATATCTCACCTTGACGAACTTGATTTATGATGTCATCCACTGCGGTAGTGCGTAACATGATACGTTCTACCGTGGTGGATGACATCATTAATCAAGTTTTTATAGGCGAGATATCTTGGTTAGTATTCAACGTAGAAATTTGCTGTTTGGCTAGATCTTATCATTTTCAGTTGATCAACAAGAAGGAAGTATCATAACTTGATTCTGAGACCAGCAGGACTAGCCCATTCTTCCACTCCTATGTTATATTTCCATTGTTTCAAGTCTAAATTTTTCGTAATTACCTGTTTACTCTGCTATCTAGAGGTGTCATCAGCTAAGTTGGTAGTTGTTTATATTCCACTTGCAAGCAATAGACGATATTAGTGGTGACATCATCATAGCGATTCTCCATTATATCGAATTGGATCCATACAATAACATTGGCGTAATCTCTTTCAATGCTACTACTTAATGCGAATAAATCGATATATACATATTGCTTTATTGTGACGTGCCACTAATAGCATCACTATAGGGGATTGATGGCAGCCTGATCGTGAGCTTAGTCAATCCTTGATTACTGTAGGACGACTACACTGTAGTTGCTTGTGTATGTTATGTATTCAAGTGCCAACTTAGCTGTTGACACCTCTACCTCAAGTTAGCAGTATTACTTCTGATAGTTTTACACAAGATTGTACTACCTCTTGAAGGCTGAAAGTTATTTGACCAATTCCATCTACTCTCCACCGTCAACCCCCTCTGGTATTGAATTGTGCAACACTCAAGAATCTTTATTCTTGGTGCACAGTGTACTCTCCGTTTTTAATTGATCAGAGTGGGTATGTAGAGACCTAAAATTAATTCAACAAGAACTAAAGCATTTTGCCCTATACTTTGTATCTTTGTAAACTTTATTTGAGAGGAGTTAAACTCCTGTTTGAGGTAACAACTTCAGCGGTAATCTTACTGTATCACCCTCCGCGCTGTACGACTGGCTAAATGATCTGCTATAGACTGTTTACACAAGTAAAAGTAGTCAGCAAAAAATCGTTTAGTCTGTTAGTGAGTGGTATTATTTTTGGAAGGTTGCTTTTGCAACAATTAAAAACCTGCTCATCATATTGCAGGTACTTGAAAAAAAGAAGCCCAAAGAATTTTGTTGCCTCCTTCCTAATGTAGATGCCTCCTTTTTACAGATTTAAAAACATATCAAAGTTTGGCGATTTGGAGTCGCAGAGCGCTCTAGTGCGCTGAAGTACCGGCTTGATATGTATGTAAAAACATATCAAAATGGCGCCAGAGCCACTGGATATCTCTGAGCATGAGTTGCTCTTCAAAGCAACCAATTTATCCAAACTGGCCTCCATAGATTTGTCTCAGGTATGAGTTTTAAATATGTTTCATCAAGTAAAATCATTTTGTTAATCAATGAGAACTGGAATACTTTTTTAGGTAAAATAGCTCATATTTTTTCTGTTCTTCTCCTTATATTTTAGTTCAAAACCTGTCTAAGATCTCTCCTAAAATGTTGCAGGCTCAAGAAATAATGTAATAATGACTATAATTATGCACAGTGATGCATCGTATATAAAGGGAAGATGTCCCTTAACTTTTTAGTCCATCGGTTTTTCACCAACATTCTGCAATCAATTTAGTAGAACTTTGATATGAGAACATTGTGTTTTTATGGAAAAAGAATTTAGTTAAAAGTGTGAACAAAGTTATGTCGAAGCTGTACACTAAAGTGAGAAATCATGTATCTCCATCGCAGTGTTTCAAAATTTCTGCTCCTATTTTTTTCTCCCTCTTTTTTTTTTTGAAGCGGGGCAAGCCAAATTTATGACTTAATGAAACTTGTGTGGAATATTCTGCTAATTGCAAGAGTGAGGTTGAAAAAAAGTGCCCAGCTTTCATTCATGCAGAATTGATGTCCGTCTTGTTTTCCAGATTTTTGCCTTATAATGTTTGATAAACTAAAGCAAAGAAATTTTACAAGGTATTAAGTTAAAATTCGGTGTCAGATTTCAGAAAAAAGCCTTCATGGTGACTTATTTTTTCTGGAACTCACCATCTCCTAAATTCGCAACCTGGCTGCACAATTTTACATGTTAATTTTTGAAGACACCTCAGAAGAGTGGTCCAGTGTTCCATTTTCTACCACATGGTTCCATAAGAATGTGGTTGGTGTGTTGGTGACTGAATATTTAAATTTATTGCAGTCTTCCACAATTTGATAAAAAAAAGCTTTACAGAATAAGGGAAAAGCTTATCAAGGCACTTATGAGGTGCACCTTAAAAGCCTGCAAGAGAAGCAAAATGTATTTAGGTATGATAAAGCTGAGAAAAAATGAAATGTACTTACTTATTTCGCTTACCTGTCAAGTACATTTTTCAGTACCTGGAGGCATACATGAGGAATATTAGAAATCTCTACAATAACTCCTCAGCGGTAAAAAAAATGAATTTTGCTGAAGCTGCGATGGTGATTCAGAATTCATCGATTATCTTTGCCAAGAATGTCGACTCAATTTGGGCAAGAGCTATGAACATACGGCTTGCTTTATCTGCTATTATGAAGTAAGTAATCAGAGTATTTTTTCAGGTTCTTCACTCCTTCAATAGGCGCTAGATGAAGATTCGCCATGTACATCCCACAAACCAAGTTAGGAAAATCATATTGGCAAAACATGGCAGTCTGAGGCGCTTTACGGCCCTCTCTCATTCATAGATGTGTCCGCCATCTGTCAAAAATATGATGCAATTGTAGTTCATATCTTCACCAACAGACAGTATATAAAGCCATATATGCATAGATAGTGGATGTCAAGTTTTTAAGCTTTTAAGTTAAGCGTGAGAAAATGACGTTCAAAGTTGTCAAAGCTGTGCACATTTGCGTCTGTACAGCAAAGAGGGTTTCGTCAAGGACATCATTTTAGACAAAAGAGCAAATCTTTTTCTAAAAAATGAGCTCTAGGAATTTAAATTTAAAGCAAATTCAATGGAAGGGCTTGGGAGACAAGGAGAATGAGTGCAGCTTTTGAAAATTTTTAGATATTAATGATTTAAACTAAAACTAGTCCTAGAATATATTCTGTGAAAAAGCCACTACCAAAATCCAATTTTTAACCATCCAAAACTGAGTTTGAACTTTCTCTCCGCAACCAGGCTCCATCCTACTTTGAACTTTTCAAAACCTACCCTTGAAATAGCAAAAATTGCTCTTAGCCCACTTGTCATCCAAAGCCCTCAATTGAGATGCAGTGATTTTAAAAAAATGACCACATCTCCTGTTCTTACGTAAAACTATTCTAAGACATAAAATTAACTACTTATTTAATGTAAAAAAGGGAAAGTGCTTTAAATGAATCAACGTATGATAACTGTTGAATCTTTTAATGATTTTTCTATGGAACTAAGTGTTTGCTAACTTTCAAATTGGACACAAGAGTCAAATTATATTATTGATCTTCTAAAGTAGGGAGAAAATGGGAGAGGGTGCCATCCTACAGATACCCATATTCAACAGTCTTATTTATGTTTACTACTAGGTACTTTAATGTGCTTATTTACACTATCATCAAGGAGATCAATGAGCTTGGTTAAGGTGAACAGCGAATTCTGACGTCCGCTTTTTTTTAGGTGTAACATGTTTTCTTATTCATATCTTAATAGAAAATTATGCAAGAAGTCTAAAACTTGGCACCAACTCTTGAGGGTTCATGGATTCCATTAAATTGTTCCATTAAAGAGAGAGCGCAATGCACAAACAGGTGGATAGGTTGATGCAATGGTTCTATCGAAAGGGTTAAATTAAAAACACAGTTTTCTCTGAGAATTTAGTAAATTCCTAGTCATTTTTTGTTACATTTGTCGAGGATACTTGGTAATCTCTTATTTATTCTTTTCAGCCAGAAAAAAAATAACGATGATGAAGACAATGAAGATTGTGATTTTGGAACTGGCGAAGAAGGTGCTAAGCAAAAAGAAAAAGCTAAGAAGAAGAAGAAAAAGAGAACGTTTAATGTTGAAGAATTTCAACTCCCCCCTTTTCTCAATACTGGTGAGTGTGAGATTGTAGGACATGTAATCCTTTAACCAAAATTTGGAAATACTTCTTGAAACTCCCATGACTTAAGATCTCTAACAAAGAACATTTCAAGGTGTATCACAAATTCTAGCCTCTGTCTTCAGGGTTACATAAAGTGAGGGTGCTAAAAATACCTTATCTGTGAATCGCAACAAACAAGGCAAATCTTGGGTTGAGGAGCAACTTGCGGGAGTGATGACCCCTATTTTTCTCTCTTTTTAGCCCTTGCTTAGTTTTCTTAAGTCTAGAAAATCTGGAAAGTCAGAGAATATACAGTCATCCAGGAAAGTCAGGAATTTAAGGAACTCCTTAAAAGTATCGGAATATTGCGAATAGCGCATCTGCTCAGTAACTTCAGCGAGTGCCACTCAAGAGAGTGCGAACAATTTTGTAGTGTCCTTTCCTGTCAATTAACTGATCGAATTCTTTATCATTCTATCAGTCAAACTGTCTATTCATTGACCCGTTGGATTAACCAGTCACATTGTTTGTTGAGCAACCAATCAAATTCTCTGTCAATCAATAAGTTGGATCATCTGTTTCATTGACTAGAAGTCTCTCCATTGACAAGGCAAATCATTCGTCTATGGACCATTCAACTCCTCTTTTGATCAATCAGTTGAATCTTCTTTCGATCGATAAGTCAAATTTTCTATCAATGGAACTTCCGATCCTAATCAATTTGCCTTGTTTTTTTATTTTTCAGATAAAAATATTGATATGAAACTATACGAGAAAGAGGATAAACTAGCAAAGCTATCAGATAAACTTGTCCTCCCCACCTCCTTGCGAACCAAAAGTGGTTAATAAATCGAGAGATATTTTCACATCTGAAGGAGAAGCAGTCTGGAAAATGGATGAATTCAGGTATAAACTATGTTTTTCCTCCAATACCAACTTGTATTATTAATAGTAAATGTGTCTTCTATTTCAGAGCAGCCACTGTTAGTAAAAATATCAGGAAAAATTACGAAAATCGGTCATGAATCAGAAAATTCCGAGTGTGTCAAGCATTCTTCAACTATTTGCAGTTTAGCACATGGAAAAGTGAAACATTTTATTCAGTTCATTACATATGTTGGTTTTTATAATTAGACAATTATCGATTCATTCAGGTAAAAAATCAGGAAAATCCAAAATGTAATTTTATTTCGAAATGTTTTAAAGTCTCACAAAACATTGATCTTCTGATAAATCCACAGGAAATTGTCAAACTTCATCCAAATACTTCTTTTATTACACATTTTTTAATGAATCTCCAGGGTTTTCGGCGTTCAAGAAAACCTGAAAAGTCCAAGACTTCGGCAAGTAGCGCATCAGCTCAGCAACTGCAGCCGGCATTATTTTTAGAGAGCAGGGACAACTTTCAAGTGCCTTTTTCTTTAATTTAAATCTAAGTGAAAATTTCATGCAAAATTCAACAGCAGTCAGCGTAATTGTAAGGAAAAAAATCTAAGTGGTAGTTTTGTCCAAAAATCAGGGAAAAGCAGGGAATCGCAAAATTCTGGAGTCAGGAAAAAGCCAAAAAAGTCAGAGAAATGAAGCAGTTATGAGATCCCTTTCCACTAAAGCCTTGAGCCTCGATTTTTAATCTACAATTTTGTGAGAGTTTATAGATGTTGTTTACTTGTAAATAAGCTTTGCACCTAGAACTTGTAAGTTGGATCCAGTGGGGTTACGTTAACCGCAAAATTTGCCATAGGCTCACCGTTATTTGTCTACTATCTCTGCATACAATTTGATTGTAGTTTTGATAGTTCCATTGAGACTTGCTAAGAGCTATTGGTGACCTTTTAAACATAGGTAGAGGTAGAGCTCATTTTAATTGAGCCGTAGCAAGTGTCCAAAAGTAGATTCTAAGACTTCTTTAGAATGTAAGGATGGAATGACATATCTCAGAAGAATGCTTACTTCCCCAGACAAAGAGCATGGTACTCTTTCGATTCAAGTCTTAAGTTCTACTTGACGGTCTCTTTCTCAATTTTCTCCACTTTATTTATTTATTATCCCCTTATTTATGGTCGGATTTTTCCTAAATTGTTATTTTGCCTATAAATATTTATTATCGCAATAATAACTTATGTACTCTTACTGTAGAGATACCCATCTCTTTTTTCATCTTTTTTTTTTTTTTCTTGTTATTCTCTCTCCTCACAAGGGCTAATTTCATTGGTCTTAACAGCGTCCCTGACGCCTGTCCCTTGACAAAAAAAACCCTAACTTGTTAATTTTTACAGAAAAAAAGAAAAGAAGAAGGAAGTTAAGAATGATGCAACTGTCTATTCTGGAAATACAGCTGATGGTGAAAAGAAGGACTTATCAGGACCAATGCCAGACGCCTACAGCCCTCATTATGTTGAAGCAGCTTGGTATAACTGGTGGGAGAAGGAAGGATTTTTCAAACCCGAATATAATGTATGTATTCTGCTTAATTTCTTTTACTCTTTTACTAAGGCTTTTTTGCCTGCAATCTTGTTGATAACAATGTTAAAGACCAAGCCCTGACAGTGCACCGAATTTTTACCAGCATCAGATGCTAGCAAGCGACAGGTGAATATTGGACTGAACAGTAATTAAATCATCAGGAGATTATGTAAAACATGTGATGCCAAGGTGTTATGAAAGTAAACTTTTTATTAGAGCCAAAGCTTTTTGATCTTTGTGATCATCATCAAGGCTAAGGAAGTTACACTACATCAAGCAATAAGAAATTGCAAATGCAGATGAAGAATAGGATGCGTGGGGACTGTAAAAAATCTAGAACAACAAATCTTTGAAACAATTTTTTTTAGATTTTTCACCTGCCACTATGCATCCTATTCTTCATTTTACTTTGTAGTTTCTTATTGCTCGATACAGTGTAACTTCCTTAGCCTTGATAATGATCACAAAGATCGAGAAGCTTCGGCTCTAATAAAAAGTTTACTTTCTTAACACCTTGGGGTTGTATGTTTTCAATAACCTCCCGACAATTCATCATTGGTGTTACAAAGATATTCATCACAATGTTCAAATATGAACAATAATGGTTCTTTTTGTCTACAAATTATGATTTGAAAGTTTTGTAAAGTGTCTCAGAAGTACATAAGTTTTCTAGTTTTAGTACTTTGGGGCCAGATCAGATGCTGGTGCCTGACAGCTCTCTTTCATAGTCATGTTTGGCGAAAAGTACCACTGTTACAAATGCGTTAAATTTCTATGCAGTAAAGAAATTCTGAAATGTAGTTCGTCCAAAAAATGTTAGTATTTAATGTGTGGAGATAAATGAAAAGTGATTGAAAGGTTTTTTTTGGAAAGTTGTCCAGCCGCATGTTGCATCTATATATAATAAGTGTTAAAAATGTGAGCCAAATATGCATAATTTTTTTTACAGTTTTATTTTTTTATTTTTTTTCTTTTTCAGAAAACCTTTTCTTGGAAGGCTGTCTGAATATGCCGACCACCCACAATTTTATCTTCTCTCAATTCTTAGAATGATTATACGTTGGCTCATAATGCCCTTAGAAAGTGAATATTTATCTCTGTCTTGATGTTTTGTAACCATGAACCCTTTTTTTTTCTTTCCTCATAGCGGAAATCAATTTCAGAACCTAATCCTAAAGGGCAATTTGTCATGGTGATACCGCCACCCAACGGAACCGGCTCTCTACACCTGGGGCATGCTCTTACTAACGCTGTAGAAGATGCTATCACAAGATGGTATGTAAGTAATTCAGCTTTAACCTTTTTTACTATATCAACAGAATTTTGTTTCATGCATTGATCTCTTCAGATTCTGGACCCAATCAACAACAAAGTATTCATGCAAATGCAGCCTACCATTGACTGTTTTGTTTTCACTCCAATAACAGATACCTCTGGATACTCTTGACGATTTCACACAAAGTTTGGAATCACCATGCACTTTTGTTATGTACAAACGCCTATTCTCACGTCTATACATATGGTCTATTTTGGTTTGGGAAAATAATTCAGGAAGTGGGCTGCTGATAAATTTTATTCAACTCAATGATAGTGGTTCAACAATGATTGGAACCTCACACGTGTCTTATTAAACTTTCCTCCTCCAAAATGTATTGAAGTTAAATCATGGTGGAAACTTTTCTTTTTCAGGCATAGAATGAAAGGTCGCATTACGCTTTGGGTTCCAGGCTGTGACCATGCTGGTATAGCCACTCAAGTCGTCGTGGAAAAGAAGCTTTGGAGGGAAGAGAAGAAGACAAGGCATGATATCGGAAGAGAAAAATTTGTTGAAAAAGTTTGGGAATGGAAGAGAGAGTAAGTTCTGTTTTCCTCAGACACCAGTCATGGAGGAAAAAAAATTTAAATGCTCTAAGTGATAATCCAGTGCAGTTTATTTGCTGTACAAATTTGCATGTCAATTTTTTAGGTTGACATAGATAGATATTTTTTCTCCTTGACAGGGTTGCCACAGTCAGGGAGTACGAGGATAGCCGTTGTCAGGGAAAAATTTTTAAGTCCTCTTTATTTGCTTTCTTGAATGGGTTTGACGTTTCAAACAACAAATTTTGCCCGAAAACTATTTCTAAATATGTATTTCCAACCATCTGGCACATCTTCTATTGTCAGGGAATTTCACCAAAATGTGTCAGGGAAATATCAGGAAATTTAATTTTCTAAATTCTGTGTCTGCCTTGCAATTGGCTGGTTTTTGGCGTATTGATAAAGTGTACAGAGGGCAACGATCTAGAAACGATAGATAGGGGGATCCTATGCTACGCAAACAGTGAAATTCGTAACACACCAGGAGCAACAATTAGGTTAGGATGAAGATAGTCAGTTTCTATGGCTTCTTATGGGACTGTTGCTGAATATGAACTTATATCGAATTTAGAACCAACTGTCTGAAAATCTGTGTCCAGATATGAAACTTAGCCATTCATCAAGTGCGTTTACGATGAAAATTTCAACGCTAAATCATTTATTCTAAAAACTCCTGTAAGATTCCATGTATTTGAGGTTATGACGAAGATAGCAATAGGCCGTTTCCACTCCCCGCTCGCCTATCGAACGACGGCTCCATGTGTGTTCGTTTTTTCGTCGGCCACCACCAATCTATAGTTTCTGTATCGTTGACAGAGGGTCATATTTTTTCCAGAATCCCCCCCCCCCTCCTTGAAAAAATTTGTGAAGAAAACATGAAGGATCTAAGTTAGTATGGATCTACAGAGTAATTGTAGCCCATAAGAACTTTTCCAAAAGCATCTGAAAATATTACCACATAGTTTCTATTCTTCTTAATTTTAAGTTAATTTTTCTTTGGAGCAACTGCTAATTGGATTACATTTTGCAATAAGGAACCACTATCACTGGCTCTTCCATAAAAGCAGCTTTCTGCATAGGGAATCCAATAGCACATACGCTGTTTCTAAAATGAGCTAGAAATAGTGGTTCCTTATTGAAAAATGTAGTCCAATTTTTGTTGCATACTTGGCATTTTGGTAAACTGATCCAGTTTGATTCGAGACTGAATTGAGTCTGCGTAGTTTTTGAGCCAAAATTGAATGTGTATTTTCACATTTCATCTGCTCTTCTAAATATTTCTGTTCTCTGCGTTTAACCAGGGAAGGGGATAGAATTTACCTCCAGCTTCGGAGACTCGGGTCCTCTTTGGACTGGGATAGAGCCAGCTTTACAATGGATCCAAAATTATCCCGAGCAGTAGTCGAGGCATTTATCAGACTGTACGATGAGGGTGACATTTACAGGAGTGATCGACTTGTCAATTGGTCTTGTACTCTAAAACCAGCCATTTCTGATATTGAGGTAAGTTCTTTTTCAAAGAAAATCTATATTTATGGAACTGTGACAAATTGGTCTTTTGAATTTTCTCTCCTTATCTCTAG